GGCCAGGCTTTGCTCGAGCTACGAGGTCATGGTGGAAATGTCAACTGCATCGAATGGTCGCCTCATCGACGAGGCATGCTTGCTTCAGGTGGTGACGACTGCCAAGTTCTTCTCTGGGATCTTTACAACTCTAACCAGCCTATGAACGGTACTCCTCAGCAGGAAAACCCTAGAAGCCCCGTTGCCAGCTGGCAATGCGATTACGAGATTGGCAACCTGGGCTGGGTGCCTCAACTACCCGGCTCCGAGTACGGCGAATGGCTCGGCGTCGGCGCAGGACGCGGTATCTGGGGAACACGAGTCGCGTGAACAGGCAGTACTGAAACGACTTCAAATCATTTGTAAAGCGTGAGTCTGAGCTCGCAGTTACGCTCCAGAAACGTTACTCGATTCATGTAAAGTGTGGCTGGTTAAATGGTATGGTCATTGCATTCCGCAAAGCCTGGAGTTTTCATTAGGAGGTCTTTCGAAAGTCTGATTGGGGGCATCTTCAAGATGCCAGGATCAAAACGTTGGGCTGGTCGATACAAAATCACGAACTTATATCCTGGACACTTGCGCTTTATAGGAGGTCTTGTGCATGAGGAGGAGTTTGAGCGGCCAGATTGAGTTCTAGCTTGTGCAAAGCCTGGGAATGGGGGGACATAGAGGCCGGCGCTGGTGGGAGTTAGCGTTGGAGTAGATATAGATGATGAGAAGATATATGCAATATGCAATATGATGACTATAACCAGATATCAATGAATGATGCAGTGATTGTGTGTGAGTTGGTGGATCGCTGTCTGGTTGAATCCTTGGGACAGTCCTTCATGAGAACCACCAGAACTCGAGACTCGGAGCGACCACGATACGACAAAGAAAAAGGCGACGGGCCAATCATTCTACAGCCCTTTGACGTTGACTCAATGCCTCTACCTCACGTCGAGTACATTCATATCGACGTCAGTTTGCAGCCACCTCAACATTCACCAAGACTAGACTTTCACCTAGCTATGGTTCTATAATATCGAAACGCTACCTTCGAGTCCTAGAAATAAGACATACAATTTTACAAGAATTACAAGAAGAAACGCTTTGACTCAAACCATTTCAACATGTTTCCCTGTCAAGAGATAAATTAATGACCTTCACAAGGGACCCACTGTGATTCTGCACAACTCGGGACCCACCAATTACACGGTTGTGCATTGCACAAGGCCCGGCATTTTGCCGTCTGAAGCTCTAACGTTGACTTGAAAGTTGCTTGAACCTCTTTCTTTATTTATCTTTGTCATCCATCAAGCGCCTTTTATTCTTCTTCTCTCGCATCGACGGCATTTACTACTTTCTTAATCTTTCAACCTCCAGCGACCAGTCTCTTACCAATTATCGCAGACACGCTTCGTGTCGCGCGGCTCACTCGCCACCATGTCCTCCCACGACCCTTCGCGCTTCGACGATTCCGAAGATGAGGAAGATTTCAACCCAGCGCCCGCCGATATGTCCGACGAGGAGCAAGATGGCGACGACAAGAAGATAAAGCGCGGGAGCAGTCCTGCGCCTCGCGATGATGACGATGACGAAGATGAGCGACCGTCAAAGTCGCGACACGCTGATGATGATGATGAGGAGGAAGAAGAGGACGAGGATGACAACCCCAAGCGTCGCGATGACGACGACGATGAGGAGGATGAGGAAGACGAAGAGGACGAGGACGATGTCCAGCAGGTGAGCAGGCTCTGACTCTGCCAAGGCGCGTTGCCTGCCTGCCCTTAAAATACTGACCCCCCTTTAGGGCCATCGCAGAAAGCGCAGAAAGGAACGAGGAGCGGCTTTCTTCGATATCGAAGCCGAAGTCGACGATGAAGACGAAGCCGAAGATGACGAGATGCTGGGTGAAGAGATCGGCGACTTTATCACAAACGATCATCCAGACGATATGGCCGAAACTGGTATTGACGATGACCGACGACATCGTGAGCTCGATCGCCGTCGTGAGATAGATTCAAGCATGGACGCCGAGAAACAGGCAGAGATCTTGCGGCAGCGATACGGTAATCGACGTTCTGGCAAGGGCTTCAGAGATGCATCGGTTGTTCCCAAGCGACTGCTCCTCCCTAGTGTGGACGATCCTAGCATTTGGGCTGTGCGATGTAAAGAAGGCAAGGAGCGAGAGGTTGTTTTCTCAATTATGAAGCGTATCGAAGAGAGGGCTGGCACGAAGGATGAACTCGCCATCACTGCTGCATTCGAACGTGGAGGTACCGACTCTGTCATGAAGGGGTTCGTCTACGTTGAAGCCCGCCGTCAAACCGACATTTTGAAGGGATTGGACAGTATGATGAATGTGTATCCTCATTCAAAGATGGTTTTGGTCGATATCAAGGATATGCCTGAACTGTTCCGCGTTTCCAAGACACCAAGTCTGGAGCCTGGAGCCTGGGTTCGTCTTCGAAGGCCCATGAAGCACAATGGCGATCTTGCTCAGGTCATTGATGTTACTGAAAACGGCCTTGAGGCTCGTGTTCGCTTCATTCCCAGATTGGATTATGGCATGCGAGACGACGCCTTCTCTTCAGTCACTGCCGATGGAAAGCGAAAGCGACCCTTCGGTATGGCTGGCCCTAAACCACCGCAGAGGCTCTTTAGCGAGGTTGAGGCACGAAAGCGCCACCCTCGACATATCCAAGGAAACCCTACTGCCGGTACATGGACCTACATGGGTGACGAGTTCGAGAATGGCTTCCAGGTTAAGGACATAAAGATTCAACAACTTATTACTACCGACGTCAATCCCTCTCTAGAGGAAGTCACTAGATTCGCTTCAGGCGCTGAGGATGGCACTGAGAATCTTGATTTGAAGGCGTTGGCCCACAGTCTAAAGGACAGCAATGCTCTGGCTACATATCTACCTGGCGATATTGTCGAGGTGTACACTGGCGAGCAGAAGGGTGTTGTTGGAAAGGCGATGCGAGTTCATTCCGATGTCGTCTCGATCACTGTCACTGAGGGTGATCTTGTTGGCCAGGAAATCGACGTTCCTATCCGATCCCTTCGCAAGCGCTTCAAGATTGGTGATCACGTCAAGGTCATTGGTGGTAGCAAGTTCCGCGACGAGGTCGGAATGGTTGTCAACATCAAGGACGACCAAGTTACTCTTCTGACAGATCAGACCAACTCTGAAGTCACTGTCTTTAGCAAGGATTTGCGTGAAGCTAGTGATATCGGTGGTCAAGGATCACTAGGTCAATACTCTCTTCATGATCTGGTGCAACTGGATCCTACGACCGTGGGATGCGTTGTCAAGGTTGATCGCGAGTCGCTCGTTGTTCTTGATCAATTTGGAGACACTCGCCAGGTTATGCCATCCCAGATTGCCAACAAACTTCCAAAGCGAAAGACTGCTGTTGCCGCCGACCGTAGTGGCTCTGAGATCAGACTTGAAGATGTAGTCAAGGAGTACACAGGTCAACAACGACAGGGCAAAATTATTCACATCCATCGCTCGTATGTCTTCCTACACACCAACGATAGCAAGGAGAACGCTGGTGTCTTTGTCACCAGGGCCAGTATGGTCAACACCGTCGCGGCCAAGGGAGGTCGTGTCGCTGCTGCATCCTCTGGACCTGACCTGACAGCGATGAACCCAGCACTCAAGCTTCACAAGAACGGGGCAGAAAACAAGCCCGTGCAACAACCCAGATCATTTGGCCGAGATAAGGCAATTGAACAGACTGTCATTATCAGGAAGGGAGCCTACAAAGGTCTTTTGGGTATTGTCAAGGATACAACAGACACCCACGCCCGGGTCGAGCTTCATACGAAGAGCAAGACTATTACGGTGCCCAAGGACAGTCTGAGCTTCAAGAACAAGCTCACTGGAGCTACAATCGACATCGCTAGCCGGGGAGGCCGTGGTGGATATGGTGGTGGTGCTGGACGGGGAGGTGGTGGTGATCGTGTGCCAGGATGGCAGGGCGGTTCTCGCACACCTATGGCAGGTAGTGGCTCAGACAGAGTGCCTGCTTGGGGATCACGAAGTAAGTTTCTTTGCAATTGGTTGGTTTCGATATACTAACAACACGTAGCACCCGCAGCTGCAAGCGGACGCACACCCGCTTGGAAGGCCCCAGATATGTCCGGAGCCCGAACCCCCGCGTGGGCCGATGGTTCACGAACTGTCAACCCTTATGACGGGAACCGTACTGCTTATGGCTCCGGTGGACGTACACCTGCTCCTGGCGATGCTTTTGGTGCTGGCTCACGTACGCCTGCATATGGCGGTGGTGGTGACAGCTGGGGTTCCGGATCAAAGACTCCTGCTTGGGGAGTATCTGCGCCAACTCCCGGGGCTAGTGGAAACGACTCATGGGGAGGTTCAGGCGCTTACGATGCCCCTACCCCCGGTGTTGGTCTCGGTGCCCCAACTCCTGGTGCGCTGAGTGCTCCTACACCTGGTGCCTACTCAGCACCGACTCCCGCTGCCATCAGCGCCCCTACACCGGGAGCTTCTTGGCAAGGTGGATGGGGAGCAGACTCGGCTCCTACTCCTGCGGCTGGTGCTCCCACGCCTGGTTATTATGGTGCTCCTACGCCGGCAGCATATGCTCCCCCGGAGACTCCTGCCGCCACTGGTCCTCGATACACTGATGACGATTGATTGAGAGGGGGGGTATAGTAAGATGATAAGGCATAGGCTGGCAGTTTATGGGTTTGCAAAAGGCGTTTTGGAAGATTAAATATTGTATAATCAAAAACTATAGCAGAAGGCTGGTTAACATTGAAGATTCGAAGTGAGACTTGAACTTTGGGTGATCTCTAATTGAACTGACTGTTAATATGAATGGGATTTTGATCTCAAGATGCTAGTCGAACTTTGGTGCTGTGAGGTCTTCGAAGCTATGGCTTTATCGATAAGGACTTGGTGATCTTTTCCCACTTGGATTCGTACTTCAAGCAACTTTACGACACTTCAAAACGACCAATTGCGCTCAAGTCGGACGTTTATTTGCGCAAAAATAATGTCACTGCGAATTGCGCCTCGAAAAGTGGCATCAAGCGCCCTCTCTCGAACCTCGCGCCTCGAATGCCCTCTCCTCAGCCATCGAACCTCAAAATGCGCATTCTCAACATCACGACCCTCCAGCCGCCGGCAACAAATTCCAAGCGCAGTCCACACTGCTAAGCCCGGCGAAAAGCCCGCCAAGACTACCATAACATTGACAACATCCGAACAGTCTGCCGAGAGCGCAAAGAGTATGCTCGAAAAGGCGACGAGACTGGCACAAGAACGAGAAGAGAAACTACGACAGGCACGAGCAGCACGACTAGGGAAGCTTTCTGCAAATTCGGAGAAGAGGCCAGATACAAGGGAGGATCTGGCGTCTAGCGAGAGGAGGGAAAAGGCAAGGCAGGCTGAGGAGAGATCCAACACAGCCGAGGAGAAGAGGAAGACTGGGTTGACGAAGGAGGAGAGGGAGAAGGCGGAGAAGGAAGATTACAATAGGAGACATAAACAGCTGGAGAGATTCTGGCTCAAGTTCATGGTTGGGATGCCGATTGTCTTGGTTGTTGGTTATGAACTGTTCCAAAGGCGTAAGTTGTTCCACTTGTTGCCAAGAGATGTGCTAATATGGTGTAGTTGTTATGGGCAAAGAACAAAAGGTCATGCCGTATAAACAGGCCAAGATCAATAGAGAGAGGGAGGAGAGGGAGAGGCTTGCGAGGGAGAGTGGTGGGGGTGTAGGGACGGAATGAGCGTGGAGTGTGTTGGGACTTGCGGCTCGATGCTGAAGTCAAAGAAGCTCTCAGCTTGGGTTGCTGGAAGCTCAGCGGTATTGAGATGTGTACTATTGTAAACTAACGTGTATGATATGTTGGATGTTGAAAGGAAGACACGAAAAAGCAAGACGCCACTGTTAGAAAGATGGTGTCGTGGCATGGACGTTAATATCCGCCTGACAGCGGATGCCATGATCAAAGCGGGAATAATGAATATTGGCCGATGCTCTTTTCTTTGTTGTGACTACTACGATAGAGTCTTGGGATGTTGGCTTCACAACTGGCTCAGGAGATCGATCAGGGACAAGTAAATGGTTGCCCAAATCATAGTGTATATATCATATGTCCATCTAAAATAGACACAAAAAAGTAAAAAGTAATTACATAAAAATGCTAACGTTCAAAGTCGTAGAATATGAAAAGAATATTTTTCTCCGACTCCTCCCTCATCTATTCCTTTTCCATCATCAGTGCTTACTTGGACTGTTGGCACTTGAAGCAATCCTGCTCGTAGAACTTGACCCAAGAAGTGCTCTTCTTGGTAATCTTTCCACTCCTGTACAGCTTACACTGGGCAGCGCTGTTGTAGAACGCAGGCTGGTAGCTAAAGTACTTACACTCCTTTCCATAGTCAATACAGCTCTTGGCACAGTTCTCAAGGCACGACGCATCGCCCGCGACATTGATCTTATCCTCCTGGCAGATCTCACCGCGCGTTCCGCAGTGCGTGTCCTTGGCGCACTTCTCAAACGCGGGTACGTACTTGGAGCACGTAGCAGGCGGTGTAGGCGTAGGAGTGTTGGAGCAAGTGTAGCATGTATCGAGGTCGTAGAACTTGACGCCCGTGTTGCAGGGGGTGAAGCTGAGCTGGGAGAGGGGTGCGGAGTAGAGCTGGCAGTAACCGCCGGAGCTACGGAACTTGGGGGTGTAGGAGAAGGTCTTGCAGGTGAGGGTTGTGCCGCAGAGCTTGCCGCAGACGTTGACGTCGGTGACGGACGTGGCCTGGCCGAGCTTCTGGGCGGAGCGGCAGGAGACCTTGCCTTGCTTGCCGCAGGTTGAGGGGGCGTTGGGGAGGGGGATGTAGTTGGTGCAGATAGGGGCTGCGGTGGTTGTGGTGGGAGCTTCGGTGGTGGACTGAGCTTCGGTTGTGGTGGTTGTAGGAGCCTCAGTGGTAGAAGCAGCTTCGGTGGTAGAGGCAGCCTCAGTAGTGGTAGTAGAAGCAACGCCGGCCTCAGTTGTCGTGGTGGAAGCAGCTCCAGCTTCAGTTGTAGTGGTAGAACCCTCACCAGCCTCAGTAGTAGTGGTAACAGTAGTTTCAACACCAGCCTCAGTTGTCGTGGTAGATCCAGCAGCCTCAGTGGTGGTAGTGGCCTGAGCGCAACCAGCATAGCAGATCTCAAAGTCGTAGAACTCAGACTCCTCGGCAGAAGCACAGGTGCTGATCTGCAACTGGCTCACAGTGAGACCCCAGAAAGTGCAAGTGTTGGCGGAAGCCTTGTAAGCAAAGGACTTGCAGCCAGAGATCTCGCTACACTTGGCGGCACAGTCGTTGGCGCTGGTACCAGGGCTGTCGTTGAGAGAGTCCTTGTTAGACTTGCCCTTGACGGCGCAGTTTGCAGCGGGGGGGTTGGGCACGGGGGTGTAGCCGGTGCAGACGGAGTCGGTGGTGGTGGAAGCAGCTTCGGTGGTGGTAGTTCCAGCCTCAGTGGTAGTGGTGTCAACACCAGCAGCTGTAGTGGTAGTATCAGAACCGGCCTCGGTGGTGGTTGTAGATCCAACACCAGCTTCAGTAGTAGTAGTGCCAGTCTCGGAGCCAGTCTCGGTAGTGGTAGTGTCAACGCCAGCAGCAGTGGTAGTGGTACCAGATCCAGCCTCAGTAGTCGTGGTTCCGCTCTCAGTAGTAGTAGTAGTAGAACCACCCTCATCACAAGAATAGCAAGCCTCAAAGTCATACAACTCCAGGGCAGGAGTGCCGGCGGTATCGGGATTCAGAGTGCTAAGTTGGACCTTGTACAGATAGCAAGTGTTGCTCGCGTCCAGACCGAACGAGAGACACTTATCATTAACAATGGTGGAACTGCGGTACATACCGCACTGGCGAGCACACTCTGCAATGTCGAGGTTAGGGAGGCCAATGAGCTGGGACATGAAGGCAGCGAAGCCGTTGGGAGCGCCTCGGACGGCACAGTCGGATGCAGGGGGATTGGCGACCTGGGTGTAAGCTGTGCAGCCGGCGGAGGTTGTGGTTGTGGCAGCCTCAGTGGTAGAAGACTCAACAGCAGCAGTGGTGGTAGTTGTGTCAGAGCCAGCCTCAGTAGTGGTGGTAGATCCAGCAGCTTCGGTGGTAGTACCAGTCTCTGAGCCAGTCTCGGTCGTAGTAGTTCCGGCCTCAGTGCTAGTGGTATCAACACCAGCAGCAGTGGTGGTGGTAGCACTACCCTCATCACAAGAGTAACAAGCATCCAGATCGTTAAACTCCCACTGAGGAAGGCCGCTGCGGTTGATGCCCAGGTTGCTAACAGTAGTGCTATAGACATAGCAGGTGTTGGATCCATCCAAGGCGAAGGAGCGACACTTATCGTTGGGGTGAAGGGCATCCTGGTAGTTAGCACACTTAAGGGCACAGTCGTTGGCGCTGGCGGTGTTGCCGTACGTTGCGAGTTGACTCATGACGGCGCCCGCACTTGCAGAACCCCTAACGTTGCAGTTGTTATAAGGAGGGTTGGCGATCTGTGTGTAGGCTGTGCAGCCGGCCGAGGTTGTAGTTGTGGCAGCGGCTGTTGTTGTGTCTGTGTTGGCTGTGAGGGTCTCGGTAGCTGAGGTCTCAGTGGTAGCGCCAGGAGCATTTGTTGTCTCGGTCTGAGAACCAGTGGCTGAGGTCTCAGTGTCGGTTGTGCCCGTAGCATGGGCTGTACCAGAGGTCTCGGTCTCAGATCCTGTGGCGGTTGTTGTTCCAGTCTCGGAACCAGTAGCTGAAGTCTCTGTCTCTGAGCCGGTAGCAGTTGTAGTTCCAGCTGAAGCAGTGCCAGTAGTCTCGGTAGCAGAACCAGTAGCGGAGGTCTCAGTCTCAGATCCAGTAGTCTGAGATCCAGTGGCAGTCTCAGTACCAGAGGTGGTTGTGCCCTCACCACATCCGAAGCAAAGGTCGAGGTCATAGAAGTGGCTAGCATCGGAACCCTCGTTGAACGTATATCCGAGTGAAGAAACGGGGGCATTGTACAGGGTACAAGAAGTATCCCTGATGGAGAAAGACTTGCAGCCAACAGTCAAACCACAAGTGTTACCACACGCAGCGTAGTCGGTAACAGTGATAGGAGATCCAATGACCTTGTCAGCGCAGTTGGGTGCAACACCAGTCTTGCCACAATCGGCGGGGACAATCTCAGTGTAAGGAGTGTAGTGAGAGCAAGCAGCTCCAGTGGTAGTGGTAACAGCAGTCTCAGTAGTAGCAGTGGAGGAAAGAATGTCGGTTGAGCCAGAAGTAGCCACAACAGCAGCGGTTGAACCACTCGTTGTGACGGGCTTGGGCTTACAAGGGCTGGCGTCGGCCACGGCCAGAGCAGCCAAGATGGCTGCAAAGACCTTTGAGGAAGGCATTGTGGAGGGAAGGGGTATTAAGCTATTGCAGTAGATGTAACGATTGTAAGTGAGAATAAAAGATCCTCGGGTAGTGAGTGAGTGGAATGTAGTTGGTATCAAGTCAAAAGAGTGACGATGCAATATGCACAGCAACAGCAAGAAAAGAAAGAGAGTGTTGTTACCGCTGAGGAAAAAACAGTCACAAAAGGCGAACGAACGTACGACAACCGGATATATAAAGAGTCTTGCATCGAATTCTTGGCTTAATTACCGATCCGTCCACCTCCATCGCCGCTGGCACGATCCAGCAAGCGAAGTCACTTGGGCGCCAAAGATCCTCCAAGTGCGCCGTACCGTTGTAGCCATCTTCTAAATCTGGACGTGACCCGGGTGAAGCTATCACGGTTCGGGGATGGGAGAATCGATAGCTTGCGGTGTTGTGGTGGGGAGGAGGGTGGCTAGTCAGGGGTGCAGACCGTTTGGTGGCGCTTTGGTTCAAAAACGCTACGGGAAATAAAATGAAACATACAGGTAAGGGTTGCTGAGGATGGGGTTTTATTAGGGCAGAGTACGGAGAGTAGGTCTGTGGTGGTTGTGGTGATAGGAGGGAGTGTTTTCGGTGAGTGGGAGACGTGCCGGTTCCTGAAACGTGAGACTGGATGGCAGGTGAAGTTATCGAGGTATTAGCGAGGTCTCTTATCTTTACAAACGATAAGATGAATGTCACTGACAATGAGAGTGTTCTTTGAGGGCATTCTCCAAATCCCATACCCATCAACCGCCGTCATAATGCCACCACCATCCACAACACTCAGCGCTCATCACCACCTCACACTCTCAAAGAAGCCAACAAACAATGACGTCTACCAAATACTTAGCCAATGCCGACAATCCGACCCTCAAGCCCTCACTTCACCATCTACCGTAACAGCAGACATGACCAGCTGAACTACGGATCTAGCCTAACAAATGCACCCCAGTCAATCACCTTTTTAGCGCCACTGCAATTTAAACCACTTTTTTTTGCGCCGTGGCTTGAGATAGGGGAGAAGCTGCGTACGCCTCCTTTTGCTGTCAGAGTAATTCGCATCGGGTCTATCGAGTGACTATCGACGGATGAGATGGGTTGACAGATCGTGGAGTTTTTGGGAGAAAAGCCTCAGTCGCATTTACATTTTGTACTCGGCCGAGATGAACGATGTTTGAGAGAGGTTCAGTGGGTGTAAGTGTAAGTGAGACCCGCAGAATGTTTCGTCGTTTAAATTGTTTTGTTTGTAGCAAAACGCGGGTCCCAGATGAAATCGCATGTTCATTTCTTGGCAGGGAAAACACTCAGACCCTTAACTCAACAAAGACTCGCTCACTCTCATCACATGGAGAGTCACAGTGCTCTCGGCGTCGTCGTCGTCCGAGAAAACAAGGCTTGACATGGTCTCGTTTCAACTAACGCTTGCTCCACCGACGTCAGTCTAGGCTAACTCTACTGAGGATGGCTTCTTTTTTTTTTCTTTCTGGTACTTTACGGTAGAAGATAAAGAACATTAAAAAAACGTGGTGGGTGGGACACACGAATAGCGGAATAAGGCTAGACAATGGTTATGTTTGCGAGCTAGAACGATTTGACCCATAACGCAATCTTACGATGAGCCGATAAGGGCTTGGCAGGCGATTGCGGACCCGAGAATTTGGAACGCTGTGGAAGTGGAAGTGGAAGTGGAAGTGGAGGATGAAGAAGAAGTGGAGGTTGAAGGCATTCAGAGTTTGTGAATACGAAAGGGACGGCAACCGAGGTTTGCTTCACTGTAATATTTATCCTAAATTTAGGGTATTATGTTGAGTTTATACAAGTCTTGTCTAAGTTTAGGATCGTATCTCTAAGTATTGAAGATATGCTCTTCTGTAATCTCTATCTAGGATGTCTCGGACCTGAGTGATCGACATCTTCATCTGCAATGCACATCAACCGTTTCTTCCGAGTTCCGATCTCCCTGAGAATACCTTAGCTTCGTGATCGTCGTCCCATCCTCCAAAACACACGTCTCCTCCTGCAGTCTCATCCCCCTCCACCTCGGCACCGCCCTCGTCCAAAGATACCAATACCCTACACCACCCACAAGAATAACCCACGAAAACACCGCATACAGTGCGTAAAACACTTGCCCCTCGTAGTCAGGCGGTCTAAAAAACGGCGCCGCTATTAAAGCGCAGCTCATCGCTATCCTGATACTCACCGCGGGCATCCACGCTTTAAAGGGTCGCTTGAGGTCTGGACGTTGGAAGCGGAGCTTTACGAGGCCGATTGCTACGGCTAGCCCGATGAGCTGCGCGGCGTATCCGTCGATATCGAGGATGAGAGAGTAGATTGAATCAGAGGGGGGCAGGACCATGACGAGAAATGAGGGAATGTAGTGGATTATGAAGCCGCCCATGGGAGAGTTGAATGGCCGTGAGGAGGAGAGGATGGATGAGTATGGGAGGAAGCCTTGTCTTGCGATTTCTTGCTTCATCCGTGCCTATTCCAGTTAGCAATCACTCATAGACGATGGTGAAGGACTCACCAGTGCGAAAGCGACAACCATGACATTGCCGACTGACGATAATGCCACAGCTGTCGGGAGCACAACTCTTCCAAACTTCTCCCCAAACAACCTCTCAAAGAACAACGCGGCAATCAGTTCACCACTCTCTCTAATCTCTTCAATCGGCACAACCAGAAAGTACGCAATATTAACAAGCATGTACAATCCACATGCCGTCCCCAACGCCGTCAGCGCAACGGACCTCAACGTCCTCACAGGCTGCTTGACTTCATTCATAACATTCGCAGCATTATCCAACCCCGCGAATGAATAAAACACTTTGAACAAACTCGTTGCGATGGCGCCCCAGTTCCAGCTCGTCTCTTCCCAAAGATGTTCCCACGCAAGTTGATGCGTAAGTGGTGCTGTGCTCGTGTCGGGACGGAAGATGACGACGTAAAAGCCCGAGAGGATCATAAAGACAATGATACCGATCTTTATCCAGCCCAGAACATCCTGTATCTTGACGCCTGCTTTAGGGAAAACGCTGTGTGTGATGCAGACAAACGTGAGAAGTCCTACAGCAAGACTCTTGCTCAACACATCCGTCGCTTCTACTCCCAGCGCAAATAAAGCATATTTACTAAAAATAATGCAATTACTCGCCGTGAATCCCAGGAGCACAGCATACATCGCAAACAGCGTAGACGCAAGTAATCGCGGTCGTCGATACGCAAACTCAAGGTATACCTTATCACCTCCCGACCGAGGAAGCATACATCCAAACTCAAGCGATACCGCAAGACCGCAAGCTGCGATGAAAGCGCCAACTATCCATAGCGATAGCGATAGTCCAGCGCTTCCGACGGATTGGACGATTGTTCCCGGCGTCGCAAAAATACCGCTGCCGACGACGCGCGAAATAACGAGGATATAAGCGCTCTGCCACGATAAATTCCTCCCAATGGTTGATGTCTCAGGGAGGACATCGTCTTCTACATCTCGCCTTGGGTGTATTTCTCCCGCGGTTTCACTATCATGGTGCGTAGAGGTCTTATCAGTCGAACCGTATGAGCTGCGCGATTGAAGCAGCGGCGCGTTGGAGTCTGCCATTTTGGATACGGTGCTGGTGAGTTACTCGCGACATGTCGAGTTTCTTATGAGTTTTGGGGGAAGTGAAGACGTGATTCATATTGATAAGCTGAGGTGTTTTTCTTGTTTCGGCGCGAGACATCCGCGTGGTTTCTGGCTTGTGATGGGCTGGGATGTGAAGGTTCGTAAGACGTGATCTGGATGGCGCAATTTGGAGTTTGTCATGGGGTTGATAAGCCACCACGTGCATCGATAACGTGTGAAAAGGGTATAAAGATGTAACTGATGGAGTTTATTGATAAATGATGTCAGTTCTTGTGTGGCTTTACTTTTCTGTTTATCAGATGATGAGACGGAATGGTGTAGGGTATCCTGCATGTCATAGCAACTGAGCTAAATGAAGATCTGACTGACCTACATCTCACATAGGTACATCATGAAATAATTTTCAATGCAGAAATTTTGTTTTGAGATTGAGAATGCTACCAATGATGTACTATGGAATGAGTTCCTGCTTGGCCCTATCTTGAAACCAGGACTGACAAGAGCACCAATATCGACTTTTTCTAAAGAGCTCTGTATGGATTACCAAAGCAAACTGGGGATACCTGACACATACAATGATAATGCAAAGAACCTCTTGCTGCCCCTTTACGATAGCAATGCGACATTTCAAAACTAATGCGGCAACCAAGCGAAGAAAAATAGCTCACGTATCACTGAACTGAGACCTTTGGTAGGCTTGTCCTATGTGAACTGTGGCACTGAAGGGGAAGCAGGACCCTTTTGACATCTTCAATCAAGCATCAGAATATTGTACACGTATTCCGTTTCACAAGGATGAACATCAGACACATGAGGCTGAACTCGGACGCCGAACCCGGGAAATGCCTCATTGTAAATTTGGTAGGCTCATGAAGATGAGTATAAACTTTGGCAGATCTATGCTTTGCGTAGCACTTCAGTTAGCATAAGGAATGGCGATGAGTTGGGTTGAAAGATAAGAAGAAAAATTGATAGAACGAGAGAAATGCTAGAATAATATCTGTGTTCCTGCTCATTTTCGACATCTGGAGGTTCCGAGTCTGCTGGACTGGGGTAATGACAATTACAAGAGGGTTTCTCCAGTGTATGTCAAAGATAGTTCCAGGTGTAAATAATAGCAGGCGAATTTCTAGCTATCGAAGTCGCTTAAGGAAGACTTCTACTAATATAAAATCTAACGTTAGTAAGACCCGTATCTGTATCAGTTGTCGATAGACTCACTCAACATCTGTCATGAGTTATAAGTGGAACTTAGATAGGATGTCTGTAGACAAAACATATGAGCTTCTCTTATACATTAATTCATTCTTCTAAGCTCCTATCAAGGCATCCACACAGGATGATATCTCAGCAAGAACTCATTTTTTATCGTCCAGGCATCGTGCCGAGAACTCAGCTGTGAAGTACCACTTATGCCTTGAGAAAGTATTTATCTGGAATCTATGAATTCCATGAATAAGATGGAGGTTATTTGGTCATATATGGGACTCTTATCAATTTGCTATCTGCAAGAAGTCCTCGGGGAGCAAGAAAATATCAGACCTTAATACCAAGTGTCAAGATAAACTCATCAAGGGTATCCTAAACTTAGTTATCCTACACGTATACTAAGTTACCCCAAGTCTTTTTATGATTTAGGTAGGTTCAAGGTCCCGAGTTTGCATTCCTCCCCAGGAAGTCCAGACTCTCATGTGGGGAGCCCACATAAACCCACATCAAGTCAGACAGCGCGGGATGCTTCACTTATACGCGTACATCCCATATCGAGGCTTCCACGGGCGTGCTTCTTTGGTTCTAGCTCATACATCTCCACATGAGCTCCCCGCTTAAACACAACCTCGCTTCAACTTGCACAAACTTCATGATGCATCTTACTTAGTAATCGGCATCTAATTGTCCACCAATGCCTGAACAACAAGGCCTCCACGGTCAATGCAGAGTCACTTGACATGTCAAGCGGAGTAGGTTTCTATCTCGACGATCAAAGTGTTGATCTCGCTGGGCATCTGAGCACAAGACTTGTCGGCACCAAGACGAATACTACAGCACGGACAGTATCCTTGTTGACAGCATCACTGCAGTGTGGACCCTGATCTGTCTTGATCCCAGGATATGATTCTTCTTTATATACAGAATACAGAATATCTGATCACCATAGCAAAACACGCGAACTGAGACATTCCGCAGGAACATAAAAAGCCAAGGACGTAGAATGCCACCCGCACTTTCTTATCCTCGCTGCAACTTATCCGAATGCTGACGCGGACATGGTTGCGTTGCAGTGCAGATGTTACAGTACAGTTTGCGGACCTATCATTCCAGAGCAAAATACACCGTGTAAAGCTTATGTATTACCATCCCATCCCTTTGGAAAAGAAGAGTGTAGAGTGAAGCTTTGATCGGGATCCCAATGCCGTGGTCATAATGCGGACTGAGGGAGAATCAAGCACATACGACCATACCTATCAGAGAACTCGGGATCCCGTCCGCTCTCCCATAGATAAGCTGGTAAGGGGCGGATTAGTAGTTGGGTCGGTGNNCCCGCTGTTGTATGTTTTTTGCTCTCTCTCTCTGTGAGAAATACTCATCTTTTTGCTGTTGTGTTGGTTGATTGATATGCCAAGAATAGAGCCGATATAGTTACCAAAAGGTCGATAGTCAGATTGCGGGGGAACGGCCGCACTCCACCAAAACTCTGAAGATCTCACCCGCAAAGAACCCATCCCCAGTGCTTCCCCAGACCAATTGCAACCCTGATCCCTTGCTCACCCCCGCCTCGTCATCTTCGTGTAATAGTCCTTTTCCGGGGGAGAAACAATGATTGCCGACCATCAAAACCCTCGAGCCCTCTCTTGGCGTAGCTCTCCCCCGCATTCTAGCAGCTGTCCATGGATCCCGGATGTTGCAGTGCCCAAAGCCTATTTGTCCGGGAACAACCCTGGGGGTAAACGACAAGGGTAGCTAACGCCCGTAAAGTCGTAATCTTACATGCAACATGAATCCTTGGTACTGTATCTCTGTGTCTGTTGGTTTGCATCGAGTGGGCTTGGTTTGCTCTCGGGACAAGGGAAGTTTGCCTGATGTAGGATATCATACATGATACGTTATATTGTATCTGCACGGTGGTGGGAGCTGCTTTATCCGGCGGGGATCAGAGTTGCACTGACGTTGCTCGAGATCGGATATGAAAGTGCGAGTCAGTTCGTCTACCAAAAGTTCACCAACGAGTTTCAGACCGGATCAGACGGATATCAATGCTTCTTAACAACATTCCCCAAGCCAGTCTGCCAAAGTCAATTGTCTCCTTCTTCTCTTCTAATAGGAGAAGGAAGTCTCGGGAAACCTTAGCCCGCAGTCAAAGCGGCGAAGCAGATGATATCCCTGACCTGCAGGCCAAGCAATATACTGTGCCCAGCCAGCACCAGCATCTCTCCCCAGACAAAGACAGAGCTAGAGCTGATGAGAATGAAACCATTATCCACAATCTTATTACCCCAGATGACCCTGCCATGCATATGCCATTGGTGCCCGCAATCTTGTATCGAGAGGGGTTCGCAGAGTTGATGATACTACATCCAGCATCCGATGGACATGCTACCAACCTTCGGGGATCATTCGGCATCTACTACACAGTAAAGATCGATATGCAGACATCTGTGCATGTTATAAATAAGCTGTAGAGCTCTCCCTGTTTGTGAGAATATCAAGCAGCTTCAAGAGTTGCAGCTTCTTCCATCATGGCGACTCCAAACTCGTACGCGAACAGCCTCGGCGTCCTGCCAGAGGAGTTCGACATCATTGTGTGCGGTGGTGGAAGTTGCGGTTGTGTCGTTGCTGGACGGTTGGCAAATCTTGATCATAACCTCAAGGTTCTGCTCATCGAGGCTGGCGAGAGCAACCTCAACAACCCTTGGGTGTTCAGGCCTGGTATCTACCCCCGTAACATGAAGCTGGACTCCAAGACGGCTTCGTTTTACAAGTCTCGTCCTAGCAAGTGGCTTGCAGGACGGTCTGCTACTGTGCCATGTGCTCATGTAAGTTGGCTTTTGAGAGGAGTGAAGATCATGGACTAATTGTTGCAGATCCTTGGTGGTGGTTCTTCCATCAACTTTATGATGTACACTCGAGCTAGTGCCTCCGACTGTAAGCTCAACTCTTGACACTCACGCAAAACACCACTGACAACTCTCAGACGATGACTTCCAAGCCAAGGGCTGGACCACTGAGGAACTCCTCCCCCTTATGAGGAAGCACGAGACCTACCAGCGCCACTCAGTCAACCCAGACATCCACGGCTTCGAGGGTCCCATCAAAGTCTCCTTTGGCAACTACACGTACCCCGTAAAGGACGACTTCCTCCGCGCCGCTGAGTCCCAAGGCATCCCCTTCGTCGACGATCTCCAGGATCTCTCCACGGGCCACGGCGCAGAGCACTGGCTCAAATGGATCAACCGCGACACAGGCCGCCGCAGTGACTCAGCACATGCCTATGTCCACGCCACACGTGCTAAGCACAGTAACTTGTACCTAGCCTGCAACACAAAGGTCGACAAGATCATCATGGAGAACGGTCGCGCCGTCGGTGTCCAGACTGTTCCTACCAAGCCTTTGCACCCGAACCAGCTACAGACGCGAATCTTCCGTGCTAGAAAGCAGATTGTCGTTAGTGGCGGTACGCTTTCTTCGCCTTTGATTCTTCAGCGCTCTGGTATTGGTGACCCCCAGAAGCTCCGCGCTGCAGGCGTCGAGCCCAAGGTTGATCTTCCTGGTGTTGGACTTAATTTCCAGGATCATTACCTTACCTTTTCGGTGTATCGGGCTAAGCCGGATACTGAGAGTTTCGATGACTTTGTTCGTGGAGACCCCGAGGTTCAAAAGGTAACCCCCCACCACCACACAGCTTCATGAAATGATCTATACTGACAAAACGTACAGCGCGTCTTCGATGAATGGCACAGCAAGGGGACGGTGAGAAT